CTTGCACTACTCAGAATGAAAGGTCATTTGCTGTGCTGGGTTAGTGTAAGATAATATTCTAAAGTTAATGTCCCAGTCCCTAGTATTGGGAATACTCATCTATTTTCTTTAGGGGTTGTTTTTGTTTCTATTTTGAAATAGGGTAAGATCTCTTCTTATATGCAAGATTTCATGTTGTTACAGTCTACTCAGAAAGAAAATTATGGGAAATAAAACTTCTACCCACCCCCACCCCCCAAGTTTTTCTCCTAGAAGGGCCTGAACTGCAGAAGTGCCCTCAAGGAAGGGGGCCACTCCCACTTTGTAAAGTCTTTGGTAACTTAAAACTTTGGTTCTGCTGGTTTAAGTAGTAGAAATTATTAAATATCTATGTATTTTGAAATAACAGCATACTGAAATATTAATCTGAGTTTGCCTACTTTTGACCTTTTATTACAGAAAAGCTAGAAAATACACTTGAAACTATTAGTGAATGTTTTATAATAGAAATATGTCTCTCAAAAGTGAAAATATACTTGCCAATCTAAATAATGCTGTTTACTTTTTAGTGATCACCTAAAAATTAAGGTTTCTGAGAATTAAGAATTCTAATCAACTGGAAATTATATAGTTTTGGTAATAGAAAGAATGAGGCATGAAGATACATTTTGAAGAAAAAAAGAAAGTGAGTTCTAAAGCTGGTTATTTCTGAATACCTAAGAAGGTTTGTGAAAGTTGTAGAAAGGTTTGTGAAAGTTATGGAAGGGTTGTGAAGAAAAATATTAAAAGGAAATTATAGATAATCTGAATAATAAATTTAATTTCATAAATGAGTCTAAAGTAAGCTAATACATAATTTGTTTACTCTTTTCTAGTCTGCTAAAAGGTAAAAAAAAAAAAAAAAAGTCTTTCCTGTTTTTTCCCAGGAAGCAAAAGTTCTATAAATTATGGCAATGGTTATATATTATGTTATATTAATCAGGTACATGATTGCTTAAAAAGTCTACCTTCTTAATTGTGGGAACTGAAGTTTTGCTAGCCTATGGTTGTGTTTAATACCTTTTGTCACTTTGATTGAATAATAATACTGTTGCAGAATAATAATAATAAGGATGATATATAACCTTTTGGTAAAATAAGTTTGACAACCTTCCCAGAGTTTGAATTTTAAGAAACTTTTCTTGACCTAGAATTGGCTTTAGGTCATTCCAATTGGCCCTTGAATGCCTCAAGGATTTGTTTTATCTCCTTATGAAGGAAAATTTTCTGCTTAAGGTACATGGGAAGCTTTGTCAAATAAAGAAATAATAATTCTGGTATAATTTCATTTATAACTTAATTGTTATTCTGAAATATTGTGTCACTTAATTAATTTATTTATTTATCCTTTTTAAAGATATATATTTTTATTGATTTTAGAGAGAGAGAGAGAGAGAGAGAGAGAGAGACATCAATGATGAGAGAGAATCATTGATTGGCTTCCTCCTGTATGCTCCCACACTGGGGATCAAGCCCACAACCTGGGCATGTGCCCTGACTGGGAATTGAACCGCAATCCCCTGGTTCATAGGTCGACACTCAACCACTGAGCCACGCCAAACAGGCTTAAATATTGTGTCATTTTAAATTTCTTCTTGTCATTTAGAGACAGTCACTGTTTTGTTATGATGCATTTGGAAAAATGTTACATCTTCTGAGGGATCCATGGAAAGGACTCTGACATTTTCAGATCATCCCCTTCTAACTGGATGAAAATTATTAGAACTCTACAGAGTATCTGGATTTATAAAAGTATTGGCAGAAAAAAATCAGGAGAAACAAAAAAATGATTGTGGGACTGAATGAACAGAAAAGAATTATATATTTTTTGTGGAAAATATTGCTGATTTTTAATCTTTTTTGTTTTTCAGACATAAGGAAACTTGATTCTTTTCTTAAAGCAATTTGGTAAATTATGTATTTTTCTCCGTACCTTATCCCTCCAGAATTTGGCAATTCTTACTAAGTGAGTTATGGCAAGATGCTTCGTTGCATGAATTCTATAAGACCTGTTTCTAATTGTGTTTTATGAACCAAGACTGACTGGAATGTCATGTCTGAAAGAGAAATGCCTGGACTCTGGATATCACCAGAAAGCTTTAAGGAATGAAGAGTAACTTTGAAGCCAATAAGTGAGCCTTGGAGAAATAGCCTGATACCTTGTTTGGTCAGTGGTTCACGGCAGTCTTTCCAGGTAAGGAACAAAAGTTGCTTTCCTGAGAGATGGCAATGAAGGAACCTCAAGTCATATTGGGAACCTCAAGAATGTGAGGAAATTCACCCAAGTCAACAGGTACTGCAGGAAAACCTGATGGCACCTAAGTGGCTCACTGTCTTTGCCCTGGGGGGATAATTAAAGCTCAGTCATGAAACTCCAGCAAATAAATTTTTTTAAAAACCTATATGATCAATGGCTATTCTTATTGTGTTCATGTAAGTGATCAGGCCAAATTGAAACTAGACTTAATACAATAAATCAATTGGTCTTAATTTGGCTCCTTAATAAAGATGAGGGTGATTTTTTTTTGGGGGGGGGAGTAATTGTGTTTCAGTAGATTCTATAAGACACAATTGTGAATATTAGACTCAAAGCTTTATTTTTTACCTATGAATTAAACTGGATCCTGAATTTATCTCTAGCTTTTACCCCAATAATACAAAAATTTATAACAAAGTTTGTCTCCACCAGATTACAAGCCCTACTTGTACTCAAGGAATACCACCTCTAGACACCATTGCCACCTCCTTCCATGCCCAGGCTTCATTGTACCGCTGACAGAGAGCAAGGATCTCTTGGCTCTGAAAGAAAACTTCATTCCTTTTCAGCTTGAAACAGCTACAGAAGAAACCCTGTGCCCCTTTTCTCTGAAAGAATTCAGAGCAGGATCCTTGAAGGGGGATGTGGTAGTCAGACAGACATGAGCAGAGCAAAGACGATAGGCCAACTGGGGGAGAAATGGATGGGACCCTGAGACATGTATCTCACCACTCCAACTGCTCTGAAGCTGGAAATTGAGGAACCTATGTAGAATAGAACTTGACATTTTGCCTAGTAGGAGTTGGGATACCTATTGTTAATATATTGAATTATACTCATTCTACTTATTTTGGGAGGAAAGTCATTTACTGGGATCTTTGTTGTTGGGACCCATTGTTTGGGAAAAGGATGCTGGGATGTTTTCTCTAAAGGTTACCGCAGTAGTTACCTGAGGCGAATGTGAGACATTTCACTGGGAGTGCTTCAGTATCTAATAACTACAATATGAATTGTTCTGATAATTACACAATCCCTTATAATAATGGACATACTAAGCTGCCAGCTGGTTGTTTTCTGATATGTGGGGTAACTATCTATTCATATATCCGTGCTAACAGCACCTGTTCCTTAGGACGACTGACTGTCTTTATGTCTCAGAAACATCACAGGGTCCCAACCAAAAAGACCTTCTCACAGCTGTGGCACAAGACTGCAACAATGATCTCCATCTGTGGAGCCCTGCTGAATATATTTCTTTGAACATTTTGGTAATGGTAGGCTCCTTTAATGTAGAAGTGACCTGGCTGGCTTGAGCATGGTAAAAGCTCCAAATGCCACTTCCAGGGCTATTCAAGGGATAAATTGAGAGCTGAGAAATATCAGGGAGCAGTTCTAGAGAATTGGGCAGCAATAGATTATTTGTTGTTGCAGCATAAACACAGTTGTGTGGAATTGAAAGAAATGTTCTGTTTTAATCTTTCTGACAATTCTCAATTGATAGAAAACAACATTCATCAAATTAGGGAAACCATCTTCAAGATCGTACATTCACTGTATTCTATCCCTGGGAACTGCTTTCAAGGCAAAAGCAAATATAGTCCAGCAGGATGAGATTTTTCATCTAAACCTAATCTCATATATATGAGATGATAAAAAAAAAAAACAGTGGGGAATGTTAGGGGCAGAAACATAATATTGGGGGACTAGCTATTAGTTATAAGAAATAAAATAAGAAATATTAATCATGCTCTGTAAACCATGATTGTTTTGTTCTGATTAAAGAAAGGACATTCTAACTTTGCTGGGAATTGTACACCCCAGGACATGGGAGCTAACATTGGAATTGGAATGCAGTTCATCCTCCTACCCAAGAACTGCCTGTCATTATGGAAATATTTACAACCTTGTGGCTGAAACAATCTAGTCTGGGAGGCACCTGCTCTTTCCAACCCCCAGCCCCTATTACCTATAATCTGGTCCCGGAGTGTCTGGAGGTGCCTGCCCTCTTGTGACCGCCCTCCCCCTGCTCCATGCCTGCATGACTTATAACCTGTAACGATTATCCCATGCCTACTTTTCCATGCCTCTAATTCCTACTTCCCCACATAATCTTTGTCCTTCTACCCAATATAAGCAGCTGGCTTATGGTGGGTTGAAGAGTAGATTTTTGTGGATGACCTGCTGCTCTCACATACAGTGAGCATTATTGGAATAATCACTCATATATAATTCAACCCTGCCTCTGCTTAATTGGTTGAAGTAACGACAGACAGCCTGGACTCTTTGGTTGTCCAGTTACAAAATCACTGTGCTTGAATATGGCACAGTATTTTCTAGTTATAATATTCATATAATCATTTAATTGAGAACATTTTATCAAACATAATATGCTCTTGTGTTAGACTCTAAGAATAATGGAAAATATTCAATATGAAATACAAATATATTTAAATACACAATTATTTTTAAATTATTTTTGATGATGCTTTACTAGAAATGAATTATAGTCATGTAGGTTTCTGTTGTTGTTTTATTTTTATTGTTGAAAGTATTACAGATGTCCTCTTTTTTTCCTCATTGTACCCTTCTAGCCCACACCTGCCCTTGACCCCAAGCCATCCACCACACTATTGTCTGTGTTTTTGAGTTATGCATATATGCTTACAAGTTCTTTAGTTAAAGAACAAATAAAATAAAGAGTAATACTAACATGTTATGTTCTTACCCCTATTGTTCCAAAGCTTTCTGGTTTTCTTCTTATCTTTTTCTTGCACAGGTGTGTCCATATCCATTTGATCAGGTACCAAAGAGATTTGGGGCTCGGAATGACATTGAAGGGAGTAGGCAGGGTACCTCCTTCTTCAAAATAACTCATCCAAAGCTTTGTTCGAGCAAATTTCCATTCTATATCTGCATGGTCCTGAAGAGAAGAACATGATAACTGCTGACGGGTTTCTTAATTATTAATGTCAGATAAACATCACAGAGAGCCTGTAACCTGACTTGTGTAGCTCTTGGAACATTAATTACTCATGAAAACACTGCTGACTCTTGGAGATAGTCATCTAAACATTTCAGATGATGGCTTATACTGGTAAGAGTCACAGCTTTCTTGTAACTTTTCATCCTTCCCTCTTCCCTGAAACAGTCATCTAAAATAATTCCATGTTAAAGAGACTACAGTGATTACTTATGCCTTGAGGATGAATTTTAATTTCCTGCATTGCTCAGTTTCATTAGCTCAGTTTCATTAGATTCTGGCCACAAACAGGGCTTTATGTATTATCCAAGACTTTGAACCCCTACTTATGTGAATGTCACCCTCATGGCTGCTCATGGCTTAGCCTCCTGGTATTTCTAGGAAAAGTCTTATTTGATACATTTCCATGTGAATAATTAGTGACCACCTTTAGGGAACAGACATAAACTCAGAGAGAAGTTCCTCTAACAAATGTAGAGTTGGGACTATGACACAACATTGAACCTTGACTTAATCCTGGCCAAATGGCACCAGATAGGAGTATGACTGGTGGTTGCCCATAAGCCTGAGGTTATCCTTCATTATCATTTATTTATCATTCTACTAGAGGTCTGGTGCATGAAATTTTTGCATGTTTAGGGTCCCTAGGCCTAGCTGGCAATCAGGGCCGATCTCTGGGGCGACCAGTGGGGCGATCAGGGGGCCCCGCTGGCACCCGCCTTGGCTGATCTGGGGCATGCAGGTTGGGGGCAGCTCCTGCATTGAGAGTCTGCCCCCTGATGGTTAGTGCACATTATAGCAACCGGTTGTTCCACCATTTGGTCAATTTGCATATTAGGCTTTTATTATATAGGATTTTATTATCTCCTGAGAAAACTTAGGAACATTTATGGCAACTAGATAGAGAACAGCCATGCTCCTCTTGAATTAGCCATAAATTGAATTAAGTAGACAATCTGGGAAGTAGGAAGTGCTAGAAACTAGGTATACATACAGCTAAATAATTCAAAATAATTCATTTTAACCCATTACTATTATAAAAAGGAACTCAGATTTTGGAGTAAGATAATATTAGACTATACATCATTCCAATATTACAAAATTGCTAGGTGCCAATGCATGCATAGGTTGTATATATCTTTCTACTATGAATAATATATACTTTAGTCTAGGCCAGGGGTGGGCAAACTTTTTGACTCGAGGGCCACAATGGGTTCTTAAACCGGACCGGAGGGCCGGAACAAAAGCATGGATGAAGTGTTTGTGTGAACTAATATAAATTCAAAGTAAACATCATTACATAAAAGGGTATGGTCTTTTTTTTTTTTTTTTTAGTTTTATTCATTTCAAACGGGCCGGATCCGGCCCGTGGGCCGTAGTTTGCCCAAGGGCCGTAGTTTGCCCACGGCTGGTCTAGGCACTGGACAAATTGTGCTTTCAATAGGAATCACTATATTTAGAAAATGCATGGCCTCCATTGTTGCTTAGCAATTGTCTGATTGGAGGCTTCAATCATTAGATGGAAGCACAGAAGCTGTAGTTTCCCACGCATTTTCCTTCCTGTTCCTCTCCTCTAGTTCCCTCTTTTTTACTTTCTTTCTAAACAAGCTAAAGGATTCTAATGTAATGAAGAAAAGTATATTTGTTTGCTGCAGTTATGGAGAATGGGATTCAGTAGAATCTGCTTAAGATAATAAAAAGGTGGTCACCTAAAGTATTGGCTTAGCCTGGCCAGTATGGCTCAGTGATTGACTGTCAACCCATGGACCAAGAGGTCACCAGTTCAATTCTTGGCCAGGGCACATGTCAGTTGTGGGTTCAGTTTCTAGCACTTCCTACTTCCCAGATTGTCTACTTAATTCAATTTATGGCTAATTCAAGGGGAGAATGGCTGCTCTCTAACTAGTTGCCATAAATGTTCCTAAGAGGCAGCTGATCAATGATTCTCTTTCATCTTGATGTTTCTTTCCCTTTCCCTTCCTCCCTTCAATAAAACATATTTTAAAAATAAATAAATAAATAAATAAATGAATAAATAAATAAATAAATAAATTATTGGCTTATGAGTAGCTTCTGATCCTCCTGATTCTTAAGGAGTCATATATTAAGTGTTATCTTGATTTCATTATGCTATTTTACTACTAAACAAAGCCTGTGATTCTGAAAGAGTCTACACAAAGTCTCCAATGGTTAGAAAAACTGGAACAGTTGATAGATATGTATTTATTGTCATTTTATTGTTCATATTATTGACCATATTCTTCAAGAAGACCCTTCAACCTTTCATACAATTCTGGTTTGGTGGTGATGAGCTTCTTTAGCTTTTTCTTGTCTGGGAAACTTTATCATCCATTTTAATGATAACTTTGCAGGATAGAGTAGTCTTGGTTGTAGGCCCTTGCTTTCATCACTTTGAATATTACTTGCCACTCCCTTCTGGCCTGCAAAGTTTCTTTTGAGAAATCAGCTGAAAGTCTTATTGGTCTCACTTATAGGTAACTGTTTCCTCTTGCTGCTTTGAGGATTCTATCTTTGTCTTTAACTTTTTGCATTTTAATTACAATGTGTCTTGGTGTGGGCTTCTTTGGGTTCATCTTGTTTGGGACTCTCTGCACTTCCTGGGTTTATATGTATGTTTTCTTCTCCAAGTTAGGGAAGTTTTCTGTTATTATTTTTTCAAATAGGTTTTCAATTTCTTGCTCTCACTGTTCTCCTTCCACTCCCCCATGATGTGAATGTCAGTACACTTAAAGTTGTCCCAATGGCAATAAATACATATCTATCAACAATTGAATTGACAAACAAAATGAATAAGCAGAACAGAAACAGACTCACGGATACAGAGATATTTTTATTGGTTGCTAGATGGGAGGGTGTGGGGGACTGGGCAATAAAGGTTAAGCGATTAAGATGTACTAATTAGTTGTTACAGAGTACCCATGGGAATGCAAAGTACAGCATAGGGAATATAATCAATAATATTTTAATAACTAACTCTGGTGCTGAATGAGTATGGGATTTATTGGGGTGATCACTTATTAAATTATGTAATGTCTTGTCACTGGGGTGTATACTTGCAACTAATTTAATGATATATGTAAACTGTAATTGAAAGTAAAAAAAAGAAAAACTGGAACTGAACTATGATGGTGATGACTAAAAACTACCTACTGCTACCCATCTTCTAACCTAGTCAATATTTAAGGCTTCACTTAGCTATTTGCTCTCATAGGAAGCCTGCCCCAACCACCATCAATCTCAGCTGCCTCCCACCCCAGCATGCATGGTCCTTCTCTTCTGTACTTTCATCACATTAGCAAATCCATTTTCTCAATATTGAAATCATTTACTTATTTTATCCCTACTACATCACATTTTTCTTGAGGGCAGAGACTTCCTTATTCTGTGTATCCTTAAAAGCAAGCATATATTTGGCATATATTAGATGCACAATAAATATTTGTTTAAAGAATACATGAGTGAATGAGAAACAGGCTTTAGATATGGCCTGCATGATTGCTTTTGCCTTTTAACCATTAAACTTTATTATTTTTAAAATATTTTATCCTAAAGCTCTGAGTTAGGACTAGCAGGACAAAAGAAAAAGCCCTCAGGGTAAATTCTGGTATTTTAGAACAGGAGGAAATAAAATACTTGGCATGTTCATGCTCCAAGGAGGCATCATATGCAGGATCCTGGAAAGGACACCTGGTTCAGCTTCTGAGTGCCTGGTCTCCTCTCAAGTAGTTTTAGTATTTGGGTTAAACAAAAATAGAGATTTGAAGCTTATTTTCATCTATGTAAAAAGTAACACTCCACAAAGAAGCAAAAAGAAAATGTCATACTATTCTTGAATAGTGTTCTCTTCATAAACTCCATACACCATACATGTTTTATAGAATCCAAATTGTATATACAGCTTCTCTGTCTATAGCTTTATAATTAGAGGCTTCCTAATGTTTTTGAAGGGGTAGTTTGGAAAATAGAATTCACATTAGGAAAATGTATTAACTAGAAGAATACAGAAGTTCTGATACAAATATATAGGGAGTATCTAAAAATTTTTAGATTTGTAAGATGTTTAAATAAAGCTCCACAAATTTAGCTATTAACATGTAAATCCCAGGACCTAGGTACATGCACATGGGAATATGTTAGACTGTGAATCAGTAAATGAAAATATTTTTTCTTATATTTATGCAGTTTTTCATCTGTGACAGGTTTAAGTAAAATTCAGAATGTTGCCTCTCAAAATAACAATAATAACATTTCAGAGTTTTAGCAATAAATTCCAAAATGCAATATAATTGTAGTTATTTATGGAGAAACTGAGAAGCCTATAATTATCCTTATAAAATGATATTTGTCTAAATATTAAATACTTAAAAACATATTTCATTACAGCATGATTTACTTTATTATAATTGTGTTTGGCTATAGATATACATGTAAGTTCTAGGGGATAAAGGGCTTTATCTTCGTTGTTCACTGCTGTATTTCTAGTTCTTAGAACAGTACCTGGCATCAGAGTAAGTATTCAATAAGAATTTGTAGAATGAATGAATAAATAAGTTAAACTAAGTGTTTGGATTCCAGATTCAATATACAATATACAATATTGAATATACAATATATACAGAATATACAATATTCTGCTACAGAATTCAGGATTATACTTATGTTGCTTTTGCTAGGCTTTAAGAAACTAAAAATCCTGTGACTTCTTCCCTCAGATTCTCCTCTGGACTATTTTTTGTATCTTGCCAAGCTGGCCTGAGTTTGCTTATATCAAGATTGTAGGTTAAATGGAAAGACACAATGCAAATTCCAAAGGACACTTACCTGTTGCTTGCCATAGCTATAATGACTACCTGGAAGGATAAATGTAGTTTATTTTATAATCATGTGTAAAACACTAGAGTAGTATATAGCTAAATATGGTGAATACTGCTTAGAAACTTCAAATTAACCATTTATATTATACTTTTGTCTTATCAATAGCCAATTCCAAACCTTATTTACAATGATGATGAACAATGCATTCTAAGGTAAAATACTGTATTAAAATAAAATTATTCAACTTACAGCAATAAGTTGGTAAGAATTATTCATCATGGCTATTAACATGTTGAGTAGGACAACCAGAGAGATGACATTGTATGTCCCAAACATGGTGGCACCAACAAACTCAGTGAATTCATGCTGTGCTTTAACATTGGTCACATATAAATTGATGAGCCCAAATATTGACCAAAACAGGGACTGGAGTGTCTCAAATAACCTGGAATAAATGTAAAATGAACTAATAACTATATTAATAGAACCAGTATACAAAGACATAACAGTAAAACTGGAATACTGTTATGTATATAAAATTAATTTAAAAATACATGTCCTCCACTGGGTATCTATACAAAAATTTGAAAACATTTAATCATAAAATATATGTACCCATTTGTTCATTGTAGCATTATTTAAGGTGGCCAAGATATGGAAACAACAGAAGGGTCATTTGGTAGATGATTGGATAAAAAACATATGATGTGATATACATACATATTAGAGGCCCAGTGCAAAAAATTCATAGACTCAGGGGTTGGTGGGGGGGGGTCCCTCAGCTCAGCCTGTGCCCTCTCATAGTCCGGGAGCCCCTCGATCAATCACCCCAAAGAGGTAGGCCCCACCCACCTGGTCAGGGCTCCGCGGATCGCCCCTGCAGAGGGAGGCCCCTCCCACCCACCACAGCCTGCTGGCTGGTAGCCTGGGCCTCCCTCTGCAGGGCGATCATGGGGCGATGGAAAGGACCCCAACCAATCACATTGCACCCGCCTTGGCTGGCCTGGCACCAGTGTGTGTCATAGTGTGGTCATCTGGAAGGTTGTCCGGATGGTCTTTCTGCTATTTGGTTGTTCGGTCGATTTGCATATTGTTTTTATTATTATAGCTATTATGAAATACTACTCAGTCATAAGAAAAGATGAAATACTGCCATTTGTGACAACATAGATGGATCTTCAGAATATCATACTAAGCAAAATAAGTCAATCAGAAAAAGTCAAGAACCATATGATATAAAACTGAAAGCAACAAATGAACAAATAAGAAAAACAAACAAAAAATCATAAACACAGATAATAGTAATGGTGGTCACCAGAACGATAAGGAGGTAGTAAAGGCTAAAGGGGATCAAATATGTGGTGGTGGAAGATTTGACTTTGAGTAGAGGACACACAATGCAATATACAGATTATGTATCATAGAAATGTATATTTGAAATTCTATATAATTTTATTAACAAATATCACCCCAATAAATTTAATTAAAAAGAAAAATAAATAAATGCATGAATGACAAAAGAAAAAATACAGGTCAATAGTAAAATAAAATTTTAGTGTGATTATAAAATTAAACTTAATAAAAAGAATTAAAAATTTGTTTTAATCATACTAGTGTAAATGGTGTACTTGATTTTCCTAAGAACTTTGAAAGCTATATTTACTTTTCTAGGTCAGAGATGAAAAATCTGATCCACGGCCTGTTTTTGTATGACCCCTGAGTTAAAAATAAGTTTTGCTTTTGCAAACGGTTGAAAAAAACAGAAAAAAAGGGTGATGTTTTATGATATATGAAATTGTATGAATTCACAATTTAATGTCCATAAACAAAGGGGTTTTTTTTTAGAGTTTATTTATTTTTATTTTTTAAATTTTTATTGTTGAAAATATTATATATGTCTATATGTCCCCTTTTTTCTCCCATTGAATCTTTTGAGCTCACCTCTGCCCCAGGCCACCGTATTGTCTGTGTCCATGGGTTTGGTTGATCTCTTCCACCACCTCCCCCTATTTCCCCCCTGCCCCTAACCCACACCAGCCTTCCCTCTAGGATTCCACAGTCTGTTCCATGCTTCTATTTTTCTGGATCTATTTTGTTTAACAGTTTATTTTGTTCACTAGAGGCCTGGTGCATGAAATTTGTGCACTCGGGTGCGGGGGTCTCTGAGCCCAGCCTGCGCTCTCTCGCTGTCTGGGAACCCTCAGAGGATATCCGACTGACAGCTTATAGGCCCGCTCCCCTGGAGAGGACATCCTTAGCGCTGCTGTGGAGGCAGGAGAAGCTCCCAACACTGCCGCTGCACTCGCATTTATTTATGCTGCACTGTGAGCTCCACTGGGAGCGCACTGACTACTAGGGGGAAGCTCTAACATGAGCGTCTGCCCCCTGGTGCTCAGTGAGCATCATAGCAACTGGTGGTTCCACCGATTTGCATATTAGCCTTTTACTATATAGGATTAAATTCCACATATGAGTGACATCATATGATACTTGTCTTTCTCTGACTGGCTTATTTCACTTAGGATAATACTCTCCAGGTGCCTCCATGCCATCTCAAAGGGTAAGAGATTCTTCTTTCTGTTGCTGCATAGTATTCCATGGTATAAATGTACCACTGCTTTTTTATCCACTCATCTACTAATGGGCACTTGGAGTATTTCCAGATCTTAGCTATGAACATAGGGCTACATACATTCTTTCTGATTGGTGTTTTGGGTTCCTTAGGATATATTTCTAGAAGTGGAGTCACTGGATCAAATCATAGTTCCATATTTAATTTTTTGAGGAAACTTCATACTGTATAAACAAAGTTTTATTGAAACACAACCACAGTCATTTATTTATGCATCACCTATTATTTATTTTGTATTACAATGGCAGAGGTAACTGTACCAGAAAACATATGGCCCACAAAAGCCTAAAATATTTACTATGTGTCTTTTTCATAAAAAGTTTGTCCCATCTTAGGGCAATTAGTAATAGTTAACAAATAATTGATCCTCAAGCCTAATCTTTGAAAAATGCCATTTTTTTTTCCTGATTTTGCTTTTAGTTGTAAGAGGATTAAGAATAAATTTATTGGCTGGCTGGCATGGCTCAGTGGATGAGCATCGACCTATGAACCAGAAAGTCATTGTTCAATTCCCAGTCAGGGCATATGCCCAGGGTGTGGCTTGATCTCTGGTTGGGGCCATGCGGCAGGTGGCTGGTCAATGATTCTCTCTCATCATTGATGTTTCTAAATCTATCTCTTCCTCCCTCTCTGAAATCAATAAAAATATATTTAAAAAGATAAAGTTACCAATATTGGTTTCCACATTGGCTATTTAAGTTGCACATAATAAATGCTGTAAGATAGCAGTGTCTGAGAATGCTGAGTTAATAAAATTTGTTATTTTTTTAATATTTCAGAGAACATTTTACTTATTCCTGTCAATGAATGAATTAGGTGATTTAATTAAAAGTTAAGTTTATTTCACTTACTGCAAGAAATAGAATAAGAGGAAGAATGTCTGAACTTAATGAAGAATTATTTGTTTCAAGAGGACCATTTTACTACTTTAATATAATGCTGTAAAAAGACAAAAGTCTTATACTCTTTGATAAATGGTTACAATAAGTCTTTAGTTAAATTATATTGTAAAAATAAAAAAATATACATAACATGCACTTAGGATTTCAATCTTTAGTGAGATTGACATTAGTTTGAAATCATGATGTAGGACCAAGTCAATAATGTTTTCTGGCAGCTCTCAGCCCGAGTGACATTATTCCATGTGCACCTTTTCACGCAAGGGCGATCTTTATATAGGTCTCTGACCCTCCCCACCCAAAGCCACATGGATTAGATTAGTCAAGGTCAAATGACCTAAGCAGGGACATGGCCTAATGTGAAGATGAGCCTAAACAATCAGATTTGTTCTCTAAGAGAGTTTATCTTAGAAATATCAAGAGAATGTGGTAGTTGCCAAAGTGACTGAAATGACAGGAGTTATGATGTAAGATCAGGATCACTGGACTTATGAGAAGTCAAAAGTTTAAGACAGACAAACTAAGAAGCAGAGAATTGAGGATGAAAAAGCTGGTACACATGAAAAGAGAGTACACATGGACTAGCTAAATCATGCTAATGTTGGTTCTCATAGTAAAAAGTCCTGTGGTCGCCAAAACTGGTTTGGCTCAGTGGATAGAGTGTCAGCCTGTGGACTGAAAGGTCCCAGGTTCGATTCCGGTCAAGGGCATGTACCTGGGTTGTGGGCACATCCCCAGCGGGGAGTGTGCAGGAGGCAGCTGATTGATGTTTCTAACTCTCTATCTCTCTCCCTTCCTCTCTGTAAAAAATCAATAAAATATATTAAAAAAAAAAAAAAAAGTCCTGTGGTCCAGCACTATGTCAACTCTTGCTTTTTCTGAAGCCAAGTTTTGCTCTAAGTTTGCTCAGAGGATCAAAGGACTGTAATCCTATGTATCATTGTTATAACAAAACTCCTGTTACTTGAAACAATTCATGAGCTACTGGTCTGTATAACCAGGAGAATCTAACTAAGGATGCCTTAATTAGAGTTCATTAGAGTTCTTTTCTCAAATTGATTGCTTTTTAAAAAAATAAAGTATTTTATATTTTTAACTAGTGGCCCAGTGCACGAAATTCGTGCATGGGGTTTGGGGGGACAGTGTTCCTCAGCCCAGCCTGCACCTTCTCCAATCTGGGACCCCTCGAAGGATGTCCTACTGCTGGTTTACAGGGATCGGGCCTAAACTGGCAGTCGGACATCCCTCTCATAATCCGGGACTGCTGGCTCCTAACCATTCACCTGCTTGCCTGCCTGATTGCCCCTAACCACTTTGCCTGCCGACCTGCTCGCCTCCAACTGCCCCTGCTGCTGGCCTACTCACCCCCAAATTCACCTCCTGCTGGCCTGCTCACTCCAAATTGCCCCCCCCAATGGTCATGATCACCTCCAACTGACCCCCACTGATAGCCTGCTCGCCCCCAACTGCTGGTCTGCTTACCCTCAACAGCCCCACCTCCCCATCAGCCTGATCACCCACAACTGCAGTACCATCCTGGCCTGATCACCTACAACTGCCCTCCCCTCTTGGCCTCTAACCGCCTCTACCTCAGCCCCGCCACCATGGCTTTGTCCAGAAGAATGTCTGGAAGGTCTCCCAGTCTAAATAGCATATTACTCTTTTATTAGTATAGATAGAGGCCTAGTGCACAGGTGGGGGCCAGTTGGTTTGCCCTGAAGGGTGTCCCAGATCAGGGTGGGGGTCCTGCTGGGCTACCTGGCCAGCTTGGGTGAGGGGCTGATGGCTGTTTGCAGGCTGGCCAAGTCCCCCAGTGGGGACCCTCACCCCATGGGGGTGTGGCCAGCCTGGGTGAGGGGCTGAGGGCTGTTTGCAGGCTGCCCACAGCCCCTTCAGGGTTGTGGGTTCCCTCTG